TTCACTTTATTAGAATAATCTATCATTCCGCGCTCATCAGTACTTCAGCTTGTGTTTTCAGGAATCTTGTATTATATCCAGAAAAGGTAAGAATTCTTAAACTTTCTGTTGATCGATGAGATTGCACGATCCTTGGTACTTTTTTTAAGTTAATCCACAATTTTTGTTGAGCTTTTTTAGAAATTCTAACGTTGGGGGCCCGAGATGAACCCAAATTATAAGAACATACTAAAAACGTACTCGACGTGGTGACTCACTAGAGGAACTTTAATTAGTTTGAAAGCTTTTTAAAAGAATGGTTTGAACTATGGCACAATACTATTATGGACATAAGTTGAACATAAACGACGAGCTTGTCATCTCATGTAGCAAATATTGGGTTGTATAGTTGAATGTTCATGTATGTTCACAGAAGCATATTCTTCTGATGTTCATTGTTACGTAACTACTAAAACTGCTTCAACGACTGGAAATGGTAACTTAAAAACATCTTAATTAATAGCGTGTATATAAAACTGTGAAAGCGGCTCTTGAGTTTTAGTTTCATCTATTCCATCTATTTGGGTCTTGTTTTCAAAGTTCAGTGTTTAAGAAGGAATCCACCAGAATTTCGAGTAACAAGCTAGGCGGACAGAAATTTCGTACCGAGGTTATTTACACGGTAATGCAAACTTCTGTGCGAGTGTTTTAAATATCTTCTCAGAAGAAATTATTTCTAACAACACCAAATGTCGAAAACAAATTATGAAATTCATGAGAAACACTCGAAAGTACTGGTGAAATGAAACTGATGTTGAAATTTTACATGTGGTGGCACAATTTCTCTGATTTTTAAAATTTATTTTCTCGAGATTCCATGCGAAATTTTCTTTGGTGTTATTTCAGGCTAGTATTAAAATCTTTAGCTTTTAGAAAATGAAAAAAAAAGGTTTTTAATATGCCTAAAATTATTCTAGTACTAGGTTTTTGTCTACGGAAAACCAAAATTACTCGATCCCCTATCGCTTTTAGTCGTCACGTAACAATGAAAACATACATATAAGCACACAACCCAATATTTTCTACGACGAGTCAGGAATACAAAACGATATCGTTTATGTTCAATAATGTTCATATTTTTATTTAGTCGTTGGACCGTATAGACTCCATTGCAAGAAAAAGAGAGGAAAATGACTCATGCTTTATTTTTTGGTTATCAAAACTGTATATTCTCTTTGCTCACTTCACTATTACATTAATAGGTCTAATCTTGCTAAAGCCCTGGTCAAACGAACGCAAGTAGCCGCAAGTCGAAATTGCGTAGAGACTTGCGTTGGCTGGCCAAACGGATTCGCAAGTTTGCTCGCAAGTTCACGCAAGTCGCAAAAAACCCATTTCAAGGTAGATATATCCTTTATATTTCTCACCTATCAGTAAATTTTGCAGATCTCAAATTTCAGCTATGAGTTTGAAAAAAGGGCCATTTAATTTGTCAGATGATCGTTACAAGTTTGACCCATTCTCGGTAATCAGTAACACCCGATCTTGTCTTTTCAGACGTCAAAGAACGAACTTCAAATTTTACTTCAATTATTGAGAACGTCTTAAGAGCTTTCTTCTAGGCCTTTTTGTAAGACTCTCTCGGCAACCCGCCAACTCACACGTACTTCGTCGGCGAACAGTTTTGTTGCCTTTACTTTTCAAACGACACTCTGTGAAGGTTACTTAGAAGTCAGAGTATGGAATTCAAATTTCATTGAAAATATTAAAGTACGGAAATACAGAACTACAAAAAAAAAAAAAAAAAAAAGAAAAAAAGAAGGACCTATATAGTAACGGCCATCTCCCGACAATGGCCACCTCTCTATTGCGGCCACATATTCACCGTAGCCACACAACCGCACGCTTGAAATGGTGGTTTGTTTAAGGTAATTGCCATGAAANAAAAAAAAAAAAAAAAAAAAAAACATGGAGTAAGTTAAATACTAAATTTTAGCGTTGGCTGAATAAACAAAGTGCGCGATTGCTGACTGGGGTTCTGTCCAAATTAAAGGGGCACTCCCACCAAGATTTAGGGCTACTTAAAAATCCAATGAAGGTGTTGGTGTTAATTGGAAATTCACTGGTAGTTGCCTAACCTTGCTAAAATGCACCGTGCTAGTCACGAAAGTTGTTTACAACTGCTGTGCCTATTGAAGAGTAGGAAAGAAGTGGTCTAAAATTTGAAAGCGTCGGCCGGACGTTTTCAAATTTGAATATCAAGAGGCCTGGGCTCTAACGCGCTCTTCAGCGCTAGCCATCACGCGATCACCCGAGGGGTCGCGAGAAAGCGCGCGAGATTTCAAGTTTGCAAAACTCACAACAAACATGGCGGCCCCAGGCCTACTTCGTAAAACTTGCAAAGTCGAGATTTTATTGTGCGCGTAGAACACGCGCTTGCAATTACTTATCCACGAAGCTAATATCTCAAAAATTTATCCGGCGACCCTACTTTTTTTATGCAAAAAAAATATTCAACAGCAAAGATGGAATGCATGTGCTAAATTGTAAAAAAAAATGTGGGTTTGAATTCCTCCAAATTTGGAAATTTCCATTTTTTTAATAATAATAATAATAATAATAATAATAATAATAATAATAATAATAATAATAA